CCAGTCAAACCATTTTCTGCACTTCTGGGAGGGGGCACAGCAGCGCACTAAACTATTTCCTTCCCCCCCTAAGCACAATCCAGATGCAGCCCACAAAGCTCAGGGCTTCCCCATTGCAATGGGGAGTCACCACTAGCCCTCAGATTGCTCTGTGTGTGTGTGTGTGTGTGTGTAAGTGACATGCTGTCTGGTGGAGACGGGAGTTCCCTGACGGTTTCTCTCCTCACAGGTGTTTGCTCCACGGCAAAGTGCTCTGTGCCCGCCCACGCCCATACAAATGAGCAGCCGCTTGCCATGTGATTGCCAGTCGGCTCTGATGACGTCTGCTTGGAGGTGCCGGTTTCTCTGGGAGAAGCTGCTCTCCGGGCTTGTGGGTAAAACACATTTTAATCCCACGTTTCCTCCCCATGCAGATGGCCCCGTGGGATTTTACCGTACGCATGGCGCGCAAGAATAACGCTCAGTCTGTTGCCAGTTTTCCAGTGATACCTCCTGTATTCCGTCTCCGATACAGTTTACGACATTGAGGCACTGAACTGGTCGGCCCTGTGAGGACACCCCGGCAGTAAATCCTGACCCATCCTGAATAACGGCACCAAATAGCAGGGAGCCCGTTTCCCCCGGCTTTGGGATGCTCTTAGGTTACAATATACAATTCAAAATACATTGCTAATGCCTCACAGCTATTTGCCCTCCCCTTATCAATCGCATGGAGCGGTAGTTTCAAGGTGAGTTCTTTGCGGGGGGAGCTGAGGAGTCTACCAGCCCACATGCTCGCGTCTGCCGTGTTTGCTTGCGGAGTTCCTTGTAGACGGGACCGGCCCGGATCCTCGCCTTGTTGTGTTGAGCAATACCGCAGAGGAGCGCTGCTCCTGTGGAGAAGGTCGTCTGGCGTCACCACTTGGCAAGACCTTAGAACTTCTGCCGAAGGCCTGAGAGCTTCTGAGCCACATTGAGTTCTGTGCGCTGCCACACACTGAAGTTGTGTTGTGCCTGAGTTGTTGTTCAGACCACGTTAGGGTCCAGCAGTATTGGCCCCAGTAGTAATGGAATCGTCTGTTGTCGTCCCAGCAGACGTTCTGCTGGCGCTAGACCAGGCACAAGTGATGTTGCTCAGGACACTTCTGCATTCTCACCTTCACAATGAGCTACTCCTCAAAACCCGCATATAAACAAGTGCAGCGCATGCGCACCACAATCCATAGGGTGGCCTGGCTTGAGAAGGCACCTTCAGACCTTGGTAGAGGGCTGCAAGAGATGTAACAAACAAAATCAAACCCCACCCCCAACACACACAACTGCCAGACCCGGTATGCTTTCTGATTCTAGCGGACAGCCCTTGGCACCTGTTTGTTTGTCCGGAAAGGCCACGTATACTTTATTGTAATCAATATGGCTCCGGATCGATCGGGCTATACTTACGCAGACTTCATTCGCGCAGGTCTTCCAGAAAGGAAAGTCAATATCTGCAAGACACTGAGTTCCTGGAGGCTCAACTCCTGGGGGAATTCTGCACCACTGCACAATGCAGAATTGGGCAGAAATTAACACTGTTTGTCCGGAAAGGCCACGTATACTTTATTGTAATCAATATGGCTCCGGATCGATCGGGCTATACTTACGCAGACTTCATTCGCGCAGGTCTTCCAGAAAGGAAAGTCAATATCTGCAAGACACTGAGTTCCTGGAGGCTCAACTCCTGGGGGAATTCTGCACCACTGCACAATGCAGAATTGGGCAGAAATTAACACTGCGTGCGCAGAATTTTCTGTTCCCTACAGCAATAGGCTACAATGCTGCTTGCCACCACTGATAGCCGTTGCATCCAGCAGAGCCCAGCATGCACCCAGAAGCCACTGCTTGGGGGAGGGAGGGAACTAGAGGGTTTCTGGCAACTTTAGTTCCCAGCATGCCCTGGGGGGAGGAGGAGCGGGTGCGGTACAGGAAACTGTGCAAATCTGGAACTGAGCATTGAACATCAGGCTGTTTCGCACTCTGGATCACTTGACTCGGGGTGGAAGGATCTGAGCAAGGAGGGGCGTGGTTGGGCTCTGGTGGGGAGGGTTGTGGGTGTCTGGACCCCCCCTGACGTGCTCGCCAGCTAGTTTGAAATAAATTCCCAAAATAACTGACGCTGGCGTGATCCTGTGGGGTTATTCTGGCAAATAAAACATGCGGCATTTTGTCTCGTCGGTGCAGAAGAGTAGGCCAGACCTTGTATTTGACAACAAGCATCCAATCTCCCACTGAAACATTCCTAGCTCACTGACTGGGAACAGCATCCTCGGCGTCCCTCGCCAGCTAGTTTGAAATAAATTCCCAAAATAACTGACGCTGGCGTGATCCTGTGGGGTTATTCTGGCAAATAAAACATGCGGCATTTTGTCTCGTCGGTGCAGAAGAGTAGGCCAGACCTTGTATTTGACAACAAGCATCCAATCTCCCACTGAAACATTCCTAGCTCACTGACTGGGAACAGCATCCTCGGCGTCCCTATTACCCTGATAAAGCCCTTCTTGGTGTCTGGCTTAGGAAAGTGACAGGGCTTTGGTCTCCTGCCTGCTTTTGTGGAAGTAGCGCTCCCAAACCTCCGGCTAGTTTACCGACGAGCGTGCCAAAGCACCTGGAGCTTTGCGTTTATTAAATGCATTTCGTGGTGAGCGACCCCAGACGCTGCCTCCTTCGGCTTTCAGGGTCTCCGCCCTGATTTTCCACGTTCCACGCTGGCAGTCTGGAGGGGGCTGCAGCGGGGGGGGGGGGCC